GGGGGGGGGGGGGGGGGGGGGGGGGGGGGGGGGGGGGGGGGGGGGGGGGGGGGGGGGGGGGGGGGGGGGGGGGGGGGGGGGGGGGGGGGGGGGGGGGTCTGTCGCTTGTTGCTTCGCTCGGTCGTGTTTGGTCTTGGGTTTGTCTTCAGTGGCCATGCTTTAGTAAGTTGGGGCATCACCGGGGCAAGAGCGGGCGAGGCTACGATTTTCCCTGAGCGTAAGCCGGGGCAGACGTCGAATGTGATTTGAGGCTCGTCCTCATGGCACGTATGCGTTGGTATCGCCTCTCCACGCACGTCGTATTGTCTGAGGTTAGGTGCTAGGGTTAGTCTTGCTTCGAATTGCTTGCATAAAATTGACCCATCAACTCGAAAGGTTGGCAACGGTAAGGAGCTGTAGCAATGTTGGGCTGAAACCATGAAACCAAGTTGGGCGAAGCATACCCATACGGGAAAAGCCAAAGCTACGTGTATCACGCTGGAAGAGACTCATTTCTGCAGTATTGGTATTGGTGAGGAAATTTTGCGAGCCGACCTCGAACGATGGGCGGAAAGGGGCGCAGTGACCAGGAAGGTTTGGTAGCTGGGGGAGGCGGTGCGAACAAATTACCTGCTGCCCATCCGCCAAACCAACCATGCACCGACTCGACCCAATCTTGCACACAAAAATTCACCAACGCATGAAAAAAAAAAAAAATCAAAATGCGAAGGTTACGCCTGCGCGGCGGCCAGCGGCGGAGGCGTTCTCATCTCCGGGCCGGACGGTTACAAGTACAAGGCGATCCCTTCCATCGAGGGGAGGAAGGAGCGGTTCGTTTCGGTGGGGCTGAAGGTGTCGGACCTGACGGCGTCCACGGCGTACTGGTGCGGTGTGCTCGGCATGTCCAAGTTTTCGGCGCCGGCGCCGGCGAGCGAGCCGGGGGATGGTGTAGGCTTGTTGAGCGAGACCGTGGGCTACGGCGAAGAGCAGGTGACGGCACGTAGACTGGCGCTCCTCTTGCGTGTTGTGCTTTTGTAGTGCTGGCGTTTGGAAGGTTGTTCGTCCTTTTTGTTTTTCTACGTTTGTTTTGATTTCTAGAGATACGTACCCTTGTTTTGTGTTTTTTTGTGCTACCGTGTGGAGGATTTTTTCTGGGTCTTGTGTATCAGGCTTGTTTGATTTAAGGAGAGGTTGTAGGGTAGTTGGTCTGTGGCCACAAGGGACCCGCGTGAGTTGGATCAGTACGGTGTCAGAAGGTACTGAGCGGGGACCGGGACGGTTTTTAATGTGAAGACAGTAACCATCCGTGTTTTGATGTTGTTCTCGCGTTGCAGATTGTCATGTTATCGCCAGCAGAAGCTTCGTTTGGTGCCCTGTCTTGGCAGGCGACAACTGCCTGGTTATCTCTTAAGTTCCCACCCACCCCCGGCTCCCTTTTCCGTTTGTTTGTCAGTGCGATGGTCATGACACAAAAGCGAGAATCACAGTGTTATCACAGTTTTGTACTGGCCCCAAATGCACTCACTTCCGCCTTGCCGTCACCGCATCAAACGGACCAGCTTACCCAACCCCCTTCGACCCGGCCGCGCCGCTCCCTTGCCTCTCATTGTCATGTAACAAACTCCCGCCCGCCCGCCCGCCCGCCCGCATCCCGGCCGCCCGCCGACTCTGAGCTTAGGTCAAGCTCGATTTGCTGCAGGCTCCGGGGGCGGAGAAGACTCCGATTGACCACGGGTTGGCCTCTGGCCGCATTGCGTTCGCGTGCGACCTCGTGCCCCCCATCCACTCGGAAGCGGCGGCCGCGGCCAGCGGCACCGTGATCACGCCGCCCTTGACCCTGCCCACCCCAGGGAAGGCGGACGTGGTGGTCACAATCCTCGGCGACCCCGGTGAGAGAGGAGACCGCCTTCGCGAGCGTTTTATTGTCAATCTATGAAAGAGGGGGGGTCGTAGCCCTAGCCCTATCCCCCAACCCCACCCGGTACCCCCCACTATAGCCAGGATTAGTACCCTCGCAACGGCTAGGAGAGAGGCGTACACGTCGTGTGTGTGGATCGCGAAAAACGTTGTGCTGGTGTTTGTTCCTCGTCCGCGACGCGGATTTAGGTGTGTAGATCGCACGGGGAGTACGACGCACAGCGGTAGTGGCTCCGTGCGCATGTCAAGCCGCAATCATAGTGCTGGTCGCCCCTGGTGTAAACGGCCGGTGATGTCGCGTGGTGCACGTCACGGAAGTTTGTTGCATGCTTGAAAAGTATGTAGGACCACTCAAGCACCTGGGAGTCACGAAATTAAGGCGAAAAACAATACGAAATTAAGAATTTGATCATTTGGGTAAGTCCTCAGTTAAGAATCTTGCCCTAGTAGTCGATATTGAGCTGCTCCACAGAGGAAGTATGCCGCGGGCCTGGGGCAAGATGGGAGGTTTTTAGGTAGTAGTGCGGAATGTACTTCTGTTCCGGGTGTCTGTTTTGAGGCCAGCTAAATCCGTTGGCATTATGCAGTTTTGCCACGGACGGTTCACACATACGCAGGGTGTTTATTGCACTCTTTCGGTTCCGCTTCTATTTCGGGCGAGGACAAATTTGAACAATCTCTGCTGTCATCTTCTGCGTGATTGCCTGAGGCGATGTGAACGCGCCCTGAGCAGTACTCCGCGCAAAGTGTTTTTCCAGTTGTTCAATAAACCACTGCTTTGCTCCACATTTACACAACGAGTGTACTCTGGATCAGGAGGCTCGACCTCTCTGTCGAGTTTCCTCCGCCCCGTCTCCTACCGGGGGACCCCTCGGACTAGAGTATGCCTTTGCGTTTGTAAATCCCTGTAAAGCTGGCACGTTTGCATTGATCGGCCAATATGCAAGCGCGGCTTGGTGCGAATACAAAGACACATGCAGTCGGTGGCGACACGACCCTTCCAACCCCTTTGCAATTTTTCTCTTTCAGTGATGCTTGAACGAAGATTCGGCACTGGCAGTTGTTCTTTAAAAATCTCTCGGCACTCTAACACACCCATCATCCTTCCTGTGCATGCAACCAACCCCCGCTCGAAAACATACGCATGGTCCCTGTAGACGGCTACGAGATCTGCTTCGTGGAAGCCGTCGCCTTCTACCAGCTGGCGGAGCCCAAGTACGACGTCATCGACTTCGAGTCCAGGGCCACCAGAGGCGGGGACGGGGCCGCCCCGCCCAAGAGCGAGAAGCTGCAGCACGCCGCCGGCGTTACCGCAGCGGTGACGACGCCGGAGGAGGTGGCCGAGGCGGTCGCCGCGGCGTCCGGGGACGGGGTGGTCTTGTTGGACTTTGGCGCGGGGTGAGTAAGACAGTGTCGTGCGTAACGTGTTGTGGAGAGGGACTACTTACCCGTTCCAGTGCCCCACAAGGTTTGTTTTGTTTAGTTTTTTAAAGGCCGGAGTCTTGTGTGTGTGTGTGTCTTACGGTATTTATTGGAGCCTCGGCTATGATGACGGTGGCCGAGGCACCTGCGAGGAGGGGGGCGGGATGATGAGGAGCGATAGATTCGGTCTCGGTGTTGTAGGTTTGTAGACAGAAGCAGCAGGACTTGGCCTTGCTTGGTTTGATAGGCCTGTTTGCTGCGTGGTTTTCAAGGTCGCAATCACCACGTCTATCGCCGGGGGGCAAAAAGAGAGCGATAGACTATGCTTGCGGCGGGGTTGTGATGAATAGGTATGATCATGAAATGGACTTGTTTGGTCCTCTGCTTTCTGCCGTTGAGTTGATGTGACCCATTCGTCGCTGGCCTTGGTTCCGCCCAACGATTTTACTACGGTTGCCAACCTCCTCTCACAGATGTTGTACGCCCTTACACGCCGGTGGAAATAACCACAATCCAAGAAAGATGCAGCCCGCCGCCCCGAGTTTTTGAGTCTTGGAGCATCCTGCCCCCCGAGTTGTTCACGCCCGACGGGATCCACCTAGTCTTTTGGCTGGTGAGCTTATGAAATTACCACCACTAACATGAACGACCTCGGCCCGCGGCTGACTCCATCCCCCCCCCGCCCGCCCCCCCTTGCCCAGCTGGTGCAAGAATTGCAAGAAAATGGTGCCGGCCATCGAAAAGCTGGCCACGGGACCTCTCGGGGAAAAGCTCAAGGTGCTGACTGTGGACATCGACGAGGCGGACGAGCTCGCGGACGAGTACGACGTGAGCGGGGTGCCGACCTTCGTGGCGCTGAGGGGCGGCAGCGGCGACAAGGCCGACGAGTACAAGGGCAACGATCCCGCCGCGTTGGAGGCCAAGATTTCGGCGTTGCTCGGGTAATTGGATGTAGTGGGTGCTGGAGGCTGTTGTGTGCTTCTTGTTGGCCGGCCAGCGCGGCAGCCTGCCTCCTGGTGCCTCTGTGAGCGTTAGCACTGCAGGGGGTGGTTGAAAACCCGCCCCTGTTCCTCTGGTGGTTGTATCGTTCTACAATCAAGTCATTTCGGCGGCGCATTGAAGGCGGACTTCGTTTCTTGTCGGTGAGTCAAGCTTTCCGCGTATTACGGGAGGTCTGGATCTCGGTACACATCGGACGAATGCTTGTGAATGCCGTGAAGGTGCCGCCCCTCCCCCCCCCCCCCCCCCCCCCCCCCCCCCCCCCCCCCCC